GCTGCTAGCTAAGGGAGGGCTGCTGGTGAAGTTTTGAGTCTTGGAAATGACGTCGGGTGTATCTGCGACTCCTAGATGCAAGCCAACCTCGGAAACGACAAACAAAGAAGCCCGACAAACGGCAGCGACTCGTCTCAGAACATATGGGGCTCGTATTCGTAGACTTGACTCGGATTGTCGATAGGAACCTCGATATCAAGCTCGCCCTGTGTGTCATACAGCCGCAACACGACTTGTGTTCCGTTGCGCATGAAGATGGCGACTCGGCCCAAGCCGATGCTGTTGACGACGGGGCGTCCGACCCACCAGGGGACGTCCCGTCCCTCCAACACGCGAATGGCTGAAAGCCAAGTACAGACGATCATGGCGGTGGCCTCCGTGGCGCTGCGGTCCATCTGCTCCGCAACTTGGCCAACGGTCAGAGGACCGTATGTGGTTTGCAGAAACAAAGTCAGGGCATGCGCCTCGTTCTCGGTCCACAAAGGGATCTGGAAAGATGGAATTCAGTTAGCGGGGCTGCTTGGAGAGGATGACACGTCGCTTGCTTACGGGCTCTGGCTGCGGGGTGCTGACACGAGACTCGTGCTCGGACTCGTCTCCCTGGTTGTTGTCCTCGCCGGGGTGACTGGCGACGATTAGATGGCCGGGGGTTGCCGAATCGAGCAAAGGATCGTCGGGCTCGAGAAGGTCATTGGCCACAACAAATTCGATAAGAGATTGGGCGTCGTGGTCTTCGTTGTCTTGGACAAGCTTGGAGAAATGGTTGAGAGTCGGAAGCATCAGGCAATCGTCACGGTCATCGTCATCCGCCTCCAGGCGGATATGGATTGGAGGGGAGGATGGCGGCTGCACCTGTGCAGTGGTGTCGGACAGGTCCATCTCGACGTCACGACTGGGATTGTTGTCGGGTGCTCTTGAAAATCTCAAGTTGAGGGCAGGGGGGAGCTGCCCAAGATCAGCGAGCGCCCGGGCATCTACTTTGGCGTGTTTGGGTAATGGAAGGTAGACACAGAGACGGAAGGAAGGACTCAGCAGCAGGGCCCTGCTGGAGATGGAGACACGTCCCTGCCTCCGAAAGACGTATCCCATGCGCCGCACCTACCTTACCCTAATGGTGCACTGCAAGGTACCGATAGGTGTCCCTGTCCTCAGAACCAATATGGATGGCGCTTCCCCCCCCAGCCCCTGCTGTCTCTGCTCACAATCATGATTCCATGTGAATCTGCCCGAATCCACGTCCCAACTTCACCAACGTCCCGACTTCACCAACACCCCAACATCCCAATCCCCAACAATCAATTCTTCTCCATTCATCTTATTTCCTTCGACTCTACAAACTTTCCAACAGCGGCCGAGATACTTCGTGGGATGCTGCGTAGACTGCTTGTTAGCATGCCCGCCCGGCATGCATCTCTCTCCGGGACGACAAGACGAATTTGCCAGACAGCTCCAGGCGGATCCTCACCGACAACTCAAGCGTAGGACAGACGCCAGTGAGATTTCTTCTTACCAGGAAATGGATCCGAAGCGTCCCCGGACAGGAACCCCTCAGTCCATGGCACCTAAAACTATCACCTTCAACGAAATCTACCAAGATGGCAAAGAGGAGTTCAAATCCGAAGCGTCCCCGGACAGGAACCCCTCAGTCCATGGCACCCAAAACTATCACCTTCAACGAAATCTTTCTTCCCTTCTAAGTTTTCTTCTTCGCAGTTTGCCGCCTGGAGGCGCACCTTGTTGACTGCTGGAACGAAAATCTACAAAGATGGCAAAGAGAAGTTCAAGCACAAGATCGTTGAGTTCGAGGACATCTTCTACATTCTGAAGTAAGTGGCAAAAACAAAAAGTCATCGATGAAAAACTGACAACTGGCTAGGCTGGCTCCATTGCGAAAAATCCATGTCGGCAGTCGGCTCAGACATCTTGACTTACGGCCACGGCTTGGAGTATTTCCCCTGTTGGGTCGGCTTTTCGATCTCTCAGAAGGCTGGCGATCGGCGGGGTAGTCGGGCGTGTATGGGTTGATGCAGATATTGGTCTAGAGAATTGAGCCGCAGTTGAAAGCGAGCCTGCACGACCTCAGTGTCCTGGGGGCCTAGCCCGTGGGGAACGGTAGTAAACGAATGGATCCTTCCCATTACCTCTGTATCCAGGCCGTCGTGGAAAACAAGATGACAATCGAGTGTTTCTACTGCGCGCTGTAGCCAACCGTTGCACCACTGTGCTTGAAGTTCTGCGTAGACGGCGTTCATGGTTGGTTGGTGTGGAGGGCGCTCCGTCTTGTCTCCCCGCAGACCCCTTCCTTCGAACCATGTACATGTGTACTACGCCGTCTCCAGCACAGGCACAGGTAGCCCGGGCCGAACCACTCTTTGCCTAAGATCCCCGCTCGACATGACGACACATACAGTTGTATGCCTATACAAATACTTTCCCACAAATGTAGCCTGGCTTGCTTCGGGACACACCACCCCAGCCCTCAGCTCCCGTAGCCCACGGTACGCTTCGTTCGAATCTATTATTCTTTCTATACACAGCGCCATTTGTCTGCCTTCAGTCGCGTTGAGTTCGGGCACGTAACATAAAGCTGGGGCAAAGGCACGAGCTTTGTTCCGCGCCCGTCGTGCAGTGTCATGAACGATCCAGATTGTCCGAGGAGTTTCCGCGCCTGTGGGTCCATAGACAGGAAAAACAGTGAAAGCCTGGCTTGTTCCATGTTGGCGTTACCTCGGTGAAAAACGCAACGCCGTTGCGTTGTGCTACCACGATGGACCCGGAGCATTTCACACGGCGCGTCTACGACGGTTGGGAAATGAAGGAATGCCACGCGGTGGTAGCGGTGAGGTTCGAGGCGTTCGGCCCGCGTCACAAGTTGAAAACTGTCACAGTGGAGTCCACCGACGAACGATTAATCCTCGGGCTGTAGACACCATGCAGGGTGTTTCGGCCATATGTGTACCAAACCTTAGGGCAACCTCCTTCCTCCCCACGCCTTGTCCGTGAGAGGAGGGCCCATAAGTACAGCATAACTCAAGGCGGCGCCAATGGCGTTCGATCGAGACCCAGACGCGTACAAGGACGCGCTTAAACGTACCGACTACACCAAGCGTGGCCAAACGAGATCGATAATGAGCACGCCTGTGGCCGGCGGCTCAAGGCTTGTGGCTGTGCCGCAAGTGCATCTTCCGCGTAACTATATGTGCATACCCAAAGGACTCGCAGAAACGACTGTATTCTGTGCCCACGAAAAAGGCACTGAAAAAAAGCCATAGGTAAGATGGTGGAGCGATGCCTCCAAGAAGGCCACTACGTAATGCTCGTTCGTCCTCCCTCCCTTATATGGCCGAGCACACAGCCTATGAAAGTGAGTATATGGGACAGACCCTGTATAGGCATAAAGCCTGAAGCGTTCACGGGGTTTCACGGCGACTTCGATGGGGACGAGGCCCATGGCTACCCCCTTTCGTCTGAGGGGTCTTTGTGGGAGGCGTCTAACTGGGTTGTGCCAGAACTGAGCAAGTTCAGCGAAGGCAGAAAGATGATGAGTGACCTCGGCCTAAGCCTGGACACAGACATGCCCGAACCACGCGTGCTTTGTAAAGTTCACGACTCCGAGCTCCAAGCAGCTGGAGGACGGAGACTGCGGCTTATACTTTGGACAGCAATCGGAAACCCTAAAGTGTACGTCCAAGATATGTCGGACAGATTCAACAGTGACAATACGGAGCTGGATTTCGTGTCCCAGTTGATACGTGGAACTATGGGTATACTCAGAGAGCAGCTGTCTCAGAGCTCTGTTGGAGTATTGACGAGGAACGCGAAGGTGGCGACATCGTGTTTTTACAGGTCGGAAGGTGGCAGTCTCTGTGTTCAGACAGCCGAGGGCACGGCGGTACTTGCAAAGCCGGGTCCGGACCCAGGGTCGCCCTCTATGAGAGCGGTGATGTTGTTGTGTTCCAAAGCGCAGCAGTCCGCTCTGGATGCTCACAGGGCAGGGTCGTCCGAAAGCAAGGGTTTCGACTTTATAGCCGACATGTTTAGGCCCCCGGAGAGCGTTCAGGTAGCACGCGAGGGGCCAACGTTCTGCATGTTTGAGCAGTCATGCTACGCGAAGGCGAAGGCGGCGTCGTCGTGGTGCGCGAACGTGGACGGCACCCTGATGTGTCTTCAAAGCCCTCAAAGGGTAACAGGAGTTGGAGTTGCCAGTGTTGTGGGTGCGTACAATCCTCAAATTCTTAAGAAAGTGGTCGCTTCCAAACGTCCTCGTGTTTGCACGGAGGCGCTCAGATCGGTCATGGGGTTCTACGGCTGCGACTATTCCGAGCCTGAGGTGCATGGCCTTGCACATGTGTTCTTGTACCAGCCGAAAAAATCGGTGTACCCCATTACTTCGAGGGAGGCAGCACTCTCAAGAGACACAGAGTGGGTATATAAACCTTTCATAACCGACTACAGCAAACTGGGTCACCACATAGAGAGTTTTAATGAGAAGCCTCAGACTAGCACGTGCTCTATGTAACTCTCCAACTTCTCAAATTTAATGTCGAAGCACGGTTAATCCACAAACCTCGTGGACCTCAGACATATGTCTGAAGTCCCACCGAGGCCACACGGAACAGTTATCCGGTCGCGTTCCTCTCTTATGCTTTCCAAAACCTCCTTCGCTACGACATCAGACGTGTCCAGGTGTGATTCCCACAGTGCGCTTCTTACAGTTCCACCTGTGGTTGACTCGTATGCGCAGCATATGATGCCGTCTCTGGACGCAATGCTTGAGACGTCCTTCACAGTAACGTTTCCGTTCATAACCTGTGTCAGCATCACCTCAAGGTGTCTGGATATCGAGTTCAGCTGCAGCTCGACTGTGGCGTGGCTAAGGATAGATATGCATACGCTGACGCACGTTTCACGGACCAGTCCTGCAGTATTTCTTCTTGCTGCAGAGACGCTTGTGTACTTTATCGTTCCGTCTTCGTTCAGCTTGCAGTATCTTTTCTTGTCTAGCAGTATACCTCTGGAGTGGTAGCTCTCCATCTCCATTGTCCCTGTAAGGGGGTATCCTCGAATTCCTTCAGCAGAGAGCTGAGTGCCTCGGAGACACAGCGGCGTGAACCCTCCTCAGACTCGTCAGCAGCACTAGACGGGGACACAGAACACGAATCGGTATCGCCGTACAGAAAGGAAAGACCGTGGCATTCAAGAACTCTGTACGCCAGCTTGACGCACCACCTCTAATGGCCGTTACCGATGCAGAGCACGACGGACTGTACATCGCGGACTCCTCGTATCCAACGCACCCGTACGCGCTATTGGCGCAGACCTTAAGTGATGTGGCATCCAGTGGGTCCGAACGCTTACTGGCGCCGCGATGCCGCACCATCTGTTTAAGTGACTCCTTCAGCAGTGAGCTTTCCTTGTATGGGAATAGGGCCGCCCTGTCCTCAAGGACCACCCTGACGTACTGCGAGTCCCACGCTACCTTGTCCTCGTAGTCGCCGTCCTTCAGATTTTCTACTACTACCGTCTCGGGCGAGATGTTGCAGCACGACATTATGGCTGGGTACATCGAACTATAGTCGCACACGACAACGTTCCGGTGATGCCCTCTCTTCGGGTCTATTACGTAGCCTTCTCTGTATTCCTGCTCTCTATTGCTCGAAGACCAGTTTATCACTATCCCTCTGGACAAGACCACTGACGATGTAAGTAGGGGAACCATTGTTCCAGTCACATATCGTGCACAGTCGCACACGGGTGAGGACGAGCAGGCTGCGAGCGACGGTATCTTGGTGTACAGTCTTGACTTAAACCACACCTCCAGCGCTACGTTGCAGTCGTTGATGTTGTAGTTCACAAGAGACTCCAGATCCACGTCCTTGCTTATGATCGGCATGTCTAGCTTGGGCGAGCACCCCGTCTCCTGCGACAAAACCTTTAGAGACATCGTTGAGTATTGGCCTGGCCTGGCTCTCATCATGTAAGCCATGGCGTATATGTTGTAACACCCCTGAATGTGAAGTATGCTGCCGTACGGCACCATCTTCGAGCTCCCAATGCGAACCTGCTCGTACATCTCGCTCATCTCGAAGTCGTGGTACAAGATGCACTGGTTATCGAACACGTAGTTGTTCCATCCGATCAACAACAGTAGCATATGGGCTTTCGCAGCCTCCGTGAAGCATCGCACTGCCTCCGCGGACGTCGAACACTGCACCAGCTTTACTTCGTTGACGGAGGTCACCCCCCCTGCGTCTATGGTGAGAAATACGACCTTTAGTCCCCAGGTGCAGCTACATGCTATGGACAGTATCGCGTTGTCGACCAGCGGAAACTCGCCGGAGGAGTTGCTACTGATATCAACTTCGATGTCGTATGATATGGTGGTGTAAGCTCCCTAGACAGGCCTGTACTTCTGGAACCCTCCTGGCGTGCACGTTCTGCAACTGTTAAGCCCAAGGACTGACGCCAGTCTTATGTCGCTATACTGACGAGACGAGACCTCACCTATGTTGGTGTCGTCCTTGTCTGATTCGTTGTTATAGACCACAGTAGCGCTTCTCTTCACTCCAAGGCCCTCATGCATGCTTATGACTGTTATTTTCTTTTCAGCTGATAGCCTTACGCTATGCTATTCTTCACTGAGCCCACCCAGGTAATTAGCCCCCTCTTTTTAACCAGTAGGTCCATCTTGGCGTGCGGTTAACAACCACGTTGCTATACGTTGTGATGTCTCATTCGGGCGAACTAGTGTACTACAAAGATGAAGGCTGGACTGTGCCTCGGCACAAGGGGGGCTGAATCAGAACAGCACAGCAAGCTGAGGAAGACGTTCATGGAGCCGGGTCTGGTGTGCTGCATTGGGGGCCAGGAGCTCGTCTGTAGGCTGCACAGAAAGACAGATTGCTCCCAATGCACATTGATATCTTGGTCTTCTGTAGTTAGGCATGAAGGACGCACATATATTAAGGGTCTCAGACTAAGACGCAGCCTCGAGCCCCGTAACGGTTGGTCCAGAAGAATCGTGCAGGTACAGACGTCTATGCACCCATCTGCCATGTCCATTCAGGACCCCCCACGGCGTGTTTAGAACCGTTGTTCACTACTACTGTTATCTTCCCTCATCTACGCTGCACCTGGAGAAATTAAAACTTGGCGCCTCCAGCCAGACGGAAGACGTGTGCTCTGTTTTAGCTCTCATTCGTACGGCTCTGTCTGGCGAGAAAGGGTCAGGCTGCGACGTCACAAGCCTAATACTTGTATCTATATGTCTGTGGGTTTCATCCAACCCTACGTCAATGGTGCTACTACTTTCAACGGGGTATAGGCCAATCGTTCATGTTTGTTGCCTACACAGACGCGCGCGGTGCGCGTCTCCAGCCACATTTCTGTTTTCTGGCGTTCTGGTGGCATGCCTGACGGTGGTGCGCGACAAGTTCCTTCGGGGCTCAGCCGTGGTAGACCCGGACCTAAGCAACAACGCGTACGCTGTTGCAGTGGCGCACCAAGTACTAATACCAGGAGTACCCATTCCAGATCTTACACCCCATTTCATTGCGTTGAATTTCCCGAGCGTCGTTAGCACCAAGATGGACGACAAGGCTCCTCCCACCGTGGGCAAGGGTGCGATCATAATGATCAACTCCCCTAAGTCGTTTGGAGGTATGGATGTAGAGGACATCACGATGAAGGAGAACACAAGCGACTTCACACGTAGGCAGAGCGCCACCACGCGTTACTGGAAGGCACCGCTGAAGTTCAAGAAGAACGGCAAGGTTGTAGACAGCCTCCACATCAGCAACATCAGGATTCCGTACTTTAAGGACAAGGCAGGAAAGTATGGAAGAGAAACCGATGGAGATTTCTACGCTTGCTTTGACCCGTACGTCCGTGAGGGCATCGCGAGAATGGTTAGACATGAGCTGCCCGCGAACGACGTCCAGACCACCAGTGGCAACCTCGTGTCCACCCCTGAGGAATGGTGGCAGAATGTCAACTCCACAAATAAGACCATTGGCGTGCTTGGCGGGGACGTTATGTTTCACCCTAACAACATCAGAGTACTCATGGATGCGCCTGAGAGGGGTATAGCTGTCAACGGGGAGTCTTCTTCTTCGTTAAGTCCAGCAGGGAGCAAGACATGAAGATCCCACTCGAGGAGCGTGCCCCGTGAGGACCCTCCGACGGCGTCGTTATCGCGGGAGACCTCGTCAGAGCGTACACTCTGTGGATGCAGACCTGAGGATGCCGGAGCGCAGGTCCACGACCTCTGGACTGGAGGCTACTAAACCCCACAAAATTGAGGTGACCCCAGACATGGTGCTTGCCAAACTCGCAGAGTTGGGTTTCTAAGCATATGAGAGTGTTCAGTGCGAAGCATTGTGTTTTAAACTTCGCAACGCCGTTGCTTTATTCACCTACTATAATGGCTACGGACACGGATCTCCAAGTAGACAGGCACATCAGCTATCTCAATCTTCATTCCGTCTTTTTGCCTGTAGTTGGCGTTGAGGAGGATATGGCTAGGCATGATAACGATCACTGCGTCTTCGTGAACACTGCGGACATGGCCGAGCTGCTGAGAACCACCCTGTCCAAAGAGCCCGAGATATCCATGTGTGTTGCCAAGCGTATATCGAAGTAGAACAATAAGACTGTAAGACATATGTATTTACCTATAGTCCTCGCAGTTCTCTGCAGCTTGGACTACGAAGTGAGCCACGAAACGTTCAAGTACGTTGACAGGGACTTTATGCTTAGTGTATGAAGCTTTATATATATACAGTCAGTGAGCTCGTCTGCGTCACACTTAGCTCTGGTGAGGCGTCTGATGGGATCTAGGTCGCGCGAGGGACTCGAGTTTCGTCACTCCCACAGTGGAGCAGTGCTCTAGTCTGTTGTGCCTAGACGCTTGTCCTGGCGCGCTAGTCTAATCGACCCGTGGAAGTTCAGTAGCAGCAGCTTTGAGCTTTGTCACTCCACATACGGCGAACTGAGGGTGGAGGACGCAGTTGTAAGTGCAGTTTTGAAAGGACGCGAGTCATGGGGGCGCGGGGGCTTGAGGGCCTATGTCTTGGAGACTGAGAAGGAATGCGTCCTAGACGTCTGATTCCGAAACATTGACTATAGCTTGTCTGAACGATCTGTATATAGCTTGAACGTCAGACGGCTTTGCCTGTACCCTGAACTCACTGTTGTTCATTAGTAGCACACACGTGCTCTTGTTTGGTGTAATATCAAAAGTGCCCGCTGTGGCGCGCGGGTGAGCTTGAACGATCTCACCGAGTTGGAGTCGGCCATCACGGCGTCTTCGCCTACATGGTCCCTAAGTATCTCCAACGATCTTCTTGTGTGCCACAAATCGCGCGTCTGGCAGTCATTCGTTAAAATGCACATGAATCGTGTCCCTATCGCGTTGAGGTGGGACCACGCTGCCTCCTCCATTAGCCCGCACCGGTTAATAAGGTAAGGGGCTATTCTTTCTGCTACCTTGCATTTCCTCACGCACATGCTAGGCCTACTTATCTTTGCGTTGTTGTTATCTCTCACCACGTTAGGATACTCTTCGAGAAGCTTGAAAAAGTGGCCAGCGTCGAGGTGGGCTGTGCATGTGACTATCTCAGGCTGCATGAAGGACAGTCTGAGCACGCTTAGGCCATCGTCAATCCAAACGGCCATGGTGAACGCCAATCTCGAGTCCGTGACTGGCTCTGTTCTCTTACCACACAGTCCTGTCAGCACTTGTGTCAGCATTGTGATGGACGACGCGGGTAGAGCCGTCTGGTAGGTCGTATTATAGATATTGTCGCACTTGTCGTCTGGGAGGGACGCATCCGCCTTGTCCGACAACATGCGCAAAGCCTGCTGGATTCGCGCCTGTTGCTTCGTGGTGTTCCTCGTTGAGTACATCAGGGTGGAAGCCGGCAACGCTGTTGCCAGCGTCGCACACCGCGATGTCGTCCTCGTCTTACGACTTGCTGCGCCTCACGGACCTTGACGCTCAAGTCAATGAGCTGGCCAAGCCGTACATGTCTATAAAAGAAGGAGAGCATGTGCACAGGACGGCGAAAAAGGTCAGGGATGCATCAGCGTACGCGGGCATAGAGACGGTAGTGATAGTGCTGATAGGCATAAGGTTAGTTATGAAAGAAATAGTGAGACTAGCAAAGGAGACGGAAGAAAAGAACAGCAGAAGACACGAGCAGCTGTGTATGTTGTTGATATCTGTAAATAAGAATATGTCTGCAGAGCCTAGAAGCAGAGAGAGCTTATACTTGAGTGGGTTTCAGCAAAACGGAGATGAGAAGTGAGAACGTAGTGATAACTGTGATGTGCTATGGAGAAGAACTGGCTAGACGCTAGGGCGCTAGAGAGGGCTATATAGCAGCCTCTGGCACTTACTAGTAGGCTATAGGAGTGGTAGCTAAGTAGTAAGGCTTATTAACACCCCCCCTTAGGCCTTATAGCGCTAGCTAATATATAAACTAGCTACTCTAGCTAAAATTACTCTTTAAGCTAAAAAGCTTAAAAATAAGGAGTTTTTAACTATTTAATAACTTAGTAAAACGCTAGATAATCCCTAGCCTCTAATTAGCCTAAAAGGCTTAAATTAATCTTTTTTTAAACTAGTTAATATCCTCTATTCTATCCTTTTATACTTAATTAAAACCCTCTATTAATCCTAATATTTTAATAAACTTAGTATACTTATAAGGGCTAAAGCTCTTTATAAGGCTATTAGTAGGTATTTTATTACTTTTAATCTAATAGATTATAATAGTTTTATTATAAATAGCTTCTTAAATAATCTACTTATAGTAGAGGTTAATATAATAAGTCTAAGTTTTATTAAGAAGGTTTATAATATTAGTATATATATTAATACTATTAGTAAAAAGAATAGTAAGTATAAAGATCTTCTAATTAAAAAGCTACTTAACTATATAGTGTAGCTATTTTATAGTAACTATAGTAGGTATTAAGTTAATATACTTAGCTTTAGTTAAACTAAAAGTAATAAAAGTCTACTTTTTTAACTTCTAGGTAATTAGGCTACTAGTAAAGTAAATAATATAGCTACTAGTTAAGATATAAGAAGGCTTATTATTTATAAAGGATAAATCTATTATAGTATATAAGCTATAGTTAATTATTAAATTAAGATTATTAAAAATAATATTATAGTAGATAGTTCCCTTAAGGTACTAAAAGAGATATTTTATAGTATAAAAGTAAGCTTTAGAGGGTTTAATATTAGTCTAGTTAAGCTTACTAATAGTATAAGATATATTAAGATATATACTAATAGTGAGGTAGTTATAGTAATTAGTCTTTTTAATATAAATAGTATATTCCTCTTTTATATACTTTTTAGGGTCTTATATTATTAGTAGCTCTTTATAGGATACTATAGGAGTTTTAATAAGGTTAATATTTTTATATTTAAAGTGAGTAAGGATAGCCTTAGTATATTTAGTCTAGTTAATAAAGATTTAGTTATTAGCGTGGTTTTAGATAATCTAAAAACCTAGAAACTTAGTAGCTTTACTAAGGTCCTTAAGGGGGTAAATCTTATTAAGTATATTATAAACCTACTTAGTTATCTTTTTATTAGGAGTAGTAATAATATTATTATTAATATATATAAAAGTATAAGCTCTAAGTAACTTATTAATAAATAAGTAGACCTCACTATTAATAGGGGTAAAGCTAAGTTTTTATATCTTAATACTAATATAGTTAAATTACTAGAGAGAGTTTTTATGAAGGCTATAAAGTGCTTTTTAAAGTAGTTAGACTTTGCTATTATCTATAGAGAAGTTTAGAGGCTAGTATATATAGACTTTTATATTATTAGGGATAGAAGTAGTTAAGAAGACTATATTAAAGTTATATATCTTATACTTAAGTTTATAAAGAGCTATAATAGTGAAGAATATATAGATTATAGTAGCTATAGTAATAGCTATATAAACCTCTTAAGAGGATTAATCTTTATATTTATAGTTATTATAGACTACTTAATAAGTTTTATATTAAATAATCTTATTATTATTATTAGTCTTAATATTAAATACCTACTTATTAGGTAGGATCTTAGTATTATAAGGAGGGTATATAAGCTTATATACTTCTTTATTATAGAACTACTATATTTTATACTTAAATACTGCTTTTTAGTTAAACTACTAAGGGCTAGATTTAATATTATTATAGGACTTTAGGATAATAATACTATTAGGTAGAACTTTTAATAAGGTAGTAGTAGTAATAGCGCTAAGTATAAAGTAATAAGTATAGTCTAAAACCTAAATATTAGTAACTATAAAAAGCTTCTTCTTATACTTATAGACTTTAGTAAGCTAATAGTAGTATCCTTTAGGCTTCTAAGCTACTTAATAGGGTTTATTCTAAACTACTATCTCTAGGATTATTATATTAGTTACTTTTTTAATAGTATCTATAGTATAAGCTAGATCTTTATAATTAGCTTCTTTATCTTCTAGTGTACTTTTAAATAAGTTATTATTATTATTATCTTATATATTAGTCTCTAAAGATATTTATATAGTATTATTAGTTACTATAGTTATATTTTTTATAATATTCTAGTAATAGAGGACTTCTTCTAGAGGTAGAGATATTATATAGTTAATATAGGCTAGCCTTAGATTAATACTCTTATTATTAGAAGTCTGCTTATTAATATTAGTAATAAGTTCTTTAGGAGTATTAGTTATATTAGATATAATAAGGTAATAAATTAGAAGGTTAGGATTATTAAAGTGAATAGTATAGTTACTATTATTAGTAATAAGAGCTTTAGTAATAGGTAGAAGAACTATCTTCTAAAGCTATTTATAAAATTAGATATCTTAGTAGTAGAATACCTTCTTTTTATTAGGAATATAGATATAGTAGATATAATTATAAAGTAAGCTATAGTTAATAAGAAGGTTTTTTATTACTCTAGCTTCTATTTTAGCTGAATAGGTAGGCTTATTAAGACCTTTTTTATATATATAGGTAATATATCTAAATGTTCTAAGATACTTAATATATAGAGGCTTATAATTAGCTATAAGATTAAGCTTATAAGCTATAATCTTATAGGGACTTAGCTTACTTTTATTAGCTTATAGAAGAAGGTTAAAGATCTAAATAGTAGAGTTAATAGTATAGTCCTAAAGTTCCTCTAGAAGATTAATATTAATTAGTTAAGTTTAAGATACCTTAATAATAGTTCTTCTAGCTCTTTTAATAGTATTATTTATAGATAAGGTGTTAGTGATAGATATATTTATATAAGACTTAGAGAAGAATAAGTTTTAAAAGACCTTTTTGAACTTAGGTATATTATTATAGACTTAGGTCTTAATATTAATATATATTATATTAGTAAAGATATTACTAAATATCTTAATAGTATTAAGAATAACTTTATAGTTATAGTTAAGTAGGAGTGTAACTTAGTAGTAGCTACTATAGTAATCTATAAAGTGTAGAATATATCTCTTACCTATAATAGAGAGAAGCTTAATTTTAATAATATTAAAATAGATCTTATTACTAATATTAGTTAATAGTAGTAGAAGGTCTCTACTAATAATCTTAGTAGATTTAGTAAGATAGTAAGCCTTATAGTAAAAGTCTTTAATCTCTTAGGTTATAAATATAATATTAATATAGTAGTATGCTTTAATAACTTAATTAAGGTAAGTATATAGAAGATAGTGATATATAAGCTTAAGAGATAGCAGCTACTTATAGCGAACTATAGTAAGGCTAATAGTAGTGTTAAGAGGAATATCCTTTTAATACTAAATAGTAGGGATAATATAGATATTTAATTACTAGTTAACTTTAGTAAATAAAATGCCTAATAAAACCTAT